TCTCTCCTCCTTTACTGCAAGCTCAGGAGGGCGTGCAGTGTTTCCATGGGCAGAACTTGAAAGTGACAGCACTGACCTGATGCATCTCTGAATCTCCCTAGTCAGATACAAATCATAGCCTTTGTTGTTTATGCCAGGACACTGTGGCTCGAGGAAGTCCTGTCTCATCATGGCCAATTTAGAAAAGGGATGTTCATGCACTTCTACTCTATTGACCATAAAAATGCATTTTACTTTGTAACCTAATACCTAATACAGCTATAATTATTGTCTAATATGTGTGTGTGTATATCTGTATATGAAACCAGAGTTTCACAGAAGAGTATTTACCTTTACTAAATGCCATGCATTCTAGAATCTTCTGATCCCTAATCAGACACATTCTCCATTGCACCATGGGCCTGCACATGCCATGCATTCTAATCTAATTTGTTTGTTCTATTCTCCTTAAAGAAAACACAAGTTGTCACCCACTAACTAGGTTTTGTGGTCCACCCACAACTCAAAACTCACCAGTCATAGCTCCAGAGCAGCACTGTCCAGTGACTATACAGTACAAGCCGCTGAGTGTGGGCCATGTATGTAATTTCAAATTCTCTAGTAGCTGCACTAAGGAGCTAAAAGCAAGCAGATAAAATGGATTTTGACAATATATTTTATATTGCCAAAAAAATTTATATAGCTAAAATATGTTGAAATGGAATCCTTATAAAAATTATGAGTGATGCATTTTGCTTTTTTTATACTAAGTCTTTGAAATATGGTATGTATTCTTACACTCATAGCACAGAATTAGGTATATTTCAGTGCCCAGTGGTTCCATGTGGCTGGTGGCTACAGTGTTGGGCAGGGCAGCTTTAGACGCTAGTTCAGGAAGAAGAACCAAGAGTTTCTCATGGTCTTTACAGATACATGAGGTACTGGTGGAATGTTTCCCTCCCTCCCTCCCTCCTTCTTTCTTTCCTTTCTTCCTTCCTCCCTCCCTTCCTCCCTTCCTTTCTTCCTCCTTCTTCCCTCCCTCCCTCCTTCCCCTTCTTTCTTTCTTTCTTTCTTTTTTTCCTTCCTTTCTTCCTTCCTCCCTTCCTCCCTTCCTCCCTTCTTTCCTCCCTTCCTCCTTTCCTTCCATTTCCCAGGCACCAAAAAATGCAATACAGCAGAATGGATTTGGGATTGGTGTCTGGATTTTTACACAAAAATTCTATCTTTTTTCTAACTTTGGGAAACAGTAGAGGGGAAAGTTAAGAAGACAGGCATTCTACTTCTTTAAGTAACCTCAAGATGTGTAAGTTAGTGAATTCAGCAAACAATTATTGAGTAGCAATTGTGCATCAACAGTAAACCAGTGCCTTGACATCTAAGGGATTTTGGGGGGAACTTTTTCATCAGAACTAGAAGCAAATTTGGTGAGGGCTTGTCCCTCTTTGTCCTTAATGGTCTTACTTTTTAATTCTTGCTCCATTAGAGGCTGTGTATCCCTGTATGCCTACTGCTGACCAGCATCTCGTACTCATGGTGTAAGTCTGGTGAGACGTGGCTGAGGGAACTGATGTAAACTACCATGGCTGTGTTTCAAATCCCGCTAAGTTTATTATTGTTAATAATGACAGGACTTGCAGCTGACGTTTACATAAGGCTTTAAAATTAAAACTTGCTTAAAAACATATCATCTAATTTAATTTTTCAAGCAACCCTGGAAGTCGAAGTTATTGTTATCTTCATATTATATATGAGGAAATTAAGGCTTAGGGATGCTAAGTAAATTGCTCAAGATTACACATTTGTTCAAACCAACATATGTTTTTTGAGCACTTACCTGGCATAATATTGTATGTTGGCCATATATGGAATAAAGTCTCTGCTATTGGTTGAATTCAGACTCAAATGCAAATCTCTTTAGTTTGAATTTCAAGCTTTTTCCCCCATGCTGCACGATTCTCATTTTATGTAAGTGGAAATGCTCACCAACTACTCTTGGTTTATTCTTGGTTTGACTTGACTCATCTGTCTGTCATCTATCATCACTTACTTAAACAATTAATTGGATATCCAGGGATAGAGTCCATCCTGTTTTCTTCATTTAGGGACTCCCTTTAAACTTATTTGGGACTTGAAAAACTAGGCAGTCTTCCTTTGGGTTTTGAGTCTTCTAATTATACATTTGGTCCAAATAAAGCAGAAATCTGAGGCCAGGATTTAAGAGTCTCATCCTTCAATTTTATAGCTCAGTCCTCAGAAGGATATTCTCATGGTGCTCTAGAACATCCTGTGATATGAGTTGTGACCAGAAGCTAAGCAAAGGGAGAAAAAAGTATCTGTAGGGAGTTCCTTGTATCAAATAAATTAAAGAATCATAGAATTAAATAGCACGAGATTTCTTTACAGAAAAATTTTTCAGAACCTTTAACATGCAAACATGATTTGTGAATCATTAAGATATAGATATATATGTAAATATAGATTTAGAATTGATATGTAGATAAAGATACAGACAATAAATATAGAAACGGGAAGCAGCATCAAGTGGTAGTGGAAAGAACAGATTCTAAATCTGGACTGCCAGCGTGAATCCTGACTCCAGCAGTTGCTCCCTTGTTTCAGTTTCCTCATCTGTGAAACAGACAAAGTAGAGCTGTGAGGATTAATTTGATACCTGCATTTAGAGTAGTTACATGATCAGTGCTCAGTAACTACTAGATGAAAATATTAGTTGTCTAGCTGAATTTGGCATGCAGAGAATCCTGACTGTAAGACCAAAGGGCCTTCTTTTAAATAGCATCTTATGAGATTGTGTGAAACGCTGTTTGTGATGTGCTTCCCAAGGAGGTAGAGCACAGGTTGAAATAGGTGGAGAACCTGGGTAGGGTCTGGAATATGGAAGAAGAGTTTTGTATAACGTCACTGATGGAGGAAAGATGTTTTCTCTGGAAGAATTTGATCCTTGCCATTGTAGTCTCATCACCGAGAAGGCACAGTTTTGTAGCCAAAGAGCCCAGCAGCCCAGAGATAGCAAATAAGTGATATGTGTGCCTTTACTGTGTGTATTTACTTTTGACTTTTTCCTCAGGACAGACATTGCTGATTGATCACAGCACACTCTCCTGGCAACTTTCTCATAGCCCGTTGTGCAACTCTACAAAAATGATGGAATTTGAGATAGAACCCACTTTATATCCTTGGGTCCATTACCTTTGGTGGCGAAAAAAGTGGCAGTACTTCACCACAACTGGTTGCTGAAACCCCAGTATATTGCTTGAACCACAAATTCTACTGCACCAACAAATTTTCAGCCAGCTTTGTTTAGAGTTGGCTCTGCTTAGAGCCTGAGGAAGTTAAATAATGGCCAAAGCCATAGTGGCCATAGTAATAGTAAAAGTGAGAAAGAAATTGGTGGGGAGGTTGCTGAATGGTAACCTGGACGACTCTTAGGAATTAACTCCCTCAGAAGGAATTAAGTCAGGAGTCCTGAAGTCAGAATTAGATAAAAGTCTAAAAGAGAACATTTGTCTTTTCGTATTGCAGGCTAGGAAGATCATTCTAGTAGCTGAGATCATGTTATGTCCAGGAATATTTCCCACTACTCCCCACTCCCATCTCCATGTACTTTCAATGAGTACAGACTCCAAATCATGGAATCAGAGAGCAGAATTTAGAGAACACCTGACGCCTTTTGATTTGACAGCTGAGGAAAACCGATTCTTAGCGATGGAGCTGAGATTAGAATGTAGGCTCCTGATTCCTGGTTCCATGCCCCTTCCACTGTAGAATCTTCCTCCTTCAATGCTGGCTGATACTTCTCCTTCACATCCAAAGAGAACCGTGTTTTTCACTGAAATCTTTCAAGTTTATTCTCTGCTTTCCTCTTACTGTCTTTAGATAAAACTTGTTTGGATCTACCACATAAAGAAGAGGGACCAGGGAAACGTCATTACTTAAGGGAAAACTATTGCTGCAATAATGGGTTGTTACATATTTTGTAGTAAAAAATATAATTTTCTAAGGGAAGGAAAATTTTAACTGTGACAAGTATTTTGGAGTCTCTCTGGAGTCCAATTTGGGCATCTTATGTTGCATGTATATACATGGACTGGTGGAGATATTTGACCTCATCATCTGCTTAATCTCATAAGAGTACCTATTCCAGGAACAGAATCTTTCACAACTCCCCACAGGGCCTGGGGAGCAGCCTGCGTTTTGCATAATCATCTGCATGACATTCAGCAACGGACTTTCTCAAAACTGCCTTTTCATTTGGGGACTGTACTAAATGGACCTTTAGGGAGGAATAAATCAATTGGGAGAAAAAATCTGAAACTGAATCCTTTCCTTGGAAGTTTTTAAAATATAAATTCGTTATTAAAAATGTTTAAGCTTTCATCTCAACTATGTGGTGCTGAGAAACAATAGACATGTTCTCATCTGTTAATCTAACAAGCATTATCAAGTGCCAGCCGTGTGGAGACAGCACTGTCCTTGGTGTTGATGATAATATAAAACAGACTTAAGAACACAATCTGTTCTACGCAAACTTAGCTTAAATTCTCACTAAGATGATACCATAGGCGACATCCCCACCTTTTCCCTCTTCTTTCCCTTCCATGGGGGAATTGAACTAGCATTCACTCAGTTCTTTAGATCCTAGGAAGCTCCAGAGTAAAACTAGCTTCCTTGGGTGGGCACCATTCCTCCTAGGTGGCCAGGAAAGCTTCCACTGACAATGACATTTTTCTTGTAATGGGGCCAGCCCCCAGGAAGAGAAGGAAGAACCCATGCTTTCCAGCACAATCATAGAGGAAGAGTAGTGGTCATGTAGTGGTCTTCTGGTCCCTCAAGGGCAGGGCCAGAAAGCCGATGAAAACAGATGTTTGCAAACAGTGATTACTTCTGGGTAACCTAGTAAGAGGATCAGTCAGTCTTCAGCTCTAACGGGTAGGGGCAGGGTAAAGGGGTTGTCCACATTCATTTTCTTGTTTATGAACCATAATCTCTCTCTCTCTCTGCAGGCTACTGATGGAGGTTAACACCACCAATGTATCTTCTTCCAAGACTTGAGATCTTGTTTCCCCAACTGGCAAGATATAAGAAGGCATCATGGGTGAGCCTCTGCCTGTGAAGAGGGGGCCAGGGATATGGGGTTCCTGGGTGGGAGTGTTGAAGCAGGGCCTGCACATCACAGGTGGAGGAGGCATCCACAGAGGATGATGTCCCAGAGGCAGGTCTGCAAGGAGTCCTCTAAGTGAATGGCAACATTGCTCCTTGAGAAGCTGACCCTATAGTAAAGAACTGTGAGAATTGTCTGGTAAAAGCTGATGGGCAAAAGTAGCCAAAGGATACAAGGATTGGCTGGTCCCATTTTCTGGGCACTGCATGAGAAAAGACTGGAACGTCTGTGTTAGAAGTAATAGCAGGTAGCCCTGCACCAAGGAAGACACAGAAGAAAACCCTCAGCTCCAGAAAGAGGAATCCAAAACTTGCCCGGGCAGCAAAAGTCACCCCTAAGGATAGAAAATGGGCACCCTGAGACACCTGCATTACATTTTCCTTTCCTTTCTTTCTATAGCCTTCTCTTTATTTCCCCCTTCTTATTTCCCATTATCTTTCTTACTCTCCTTTCTTACCTTCCTCATTTCATTTTCTCTTCCCTCTATCCTCCATCTTTCTTTTCCCTTCTTCTTTCAGTCTTCCCATTATTTCAAGGCTGTTCCTCCTGCTGAGTATTTTTTTATATTGCTTTAGTTTCCACGATATTGTATTAGGAGCCTAGGGGCATTTGCTCTGCTCCTTATATGCTTATAACCTAACTGGAACTGAGACTGCTAGACTTCACCCAATACTGGCCCTCCTCTTCTCTCTTGGTGGCAAACACGTAATGTGATTTGGGACCACATTGCATCCAGCTTGAAGACTGCATTTCCGTCTTTCCTGTTAGGAGTGGCAAGGTAATCAAGGTAGAGCCAATGAGATGTAAGTTGATTATAATGTGGGACTCTGAGAAAGTTGACCAGCTGTGAAATATAGGCGCTGACCAGCTGATAATTGCACCCTTTTTGCCCTTTCCACTTCCTTCTTCCTATTAATTGGAGCATGAGCATGATGGTTGGAGCTCCAGAAGCCATCTTGGACCATGCAGTGAATGTGAGGAGGAAACTACACAATCTGAGGAGTAAAGAGCAAACAGAAGGAGCCTGGGGTCATGCTGACACTGTGTCCACAATACTAATCCTGGACTGGATGTCTCTGGACTTCCTATACATTGTTTAAGCCACCAATACCTCCAGTCTCTGTGATTATAGCTGAACTCAGCACTAAATGATTCAATAACCTCATCAAAAAATACTTCACATGCTCCACTATCCCCTGCTAGATCATTTCCTCTTCTGTCTTCACTATCAAGTAGGATTTGATGCTTTGAGGGTAGCCTGGGCACCATCAAGTTAGACAGCTCATCTTAAGCAACGTAGCATCTCTCACTCTGTTCTCCATCCAAGAAACCCTTCACAGAAACAACATGGGACTTTGGGGAGTTAGGGGATGTCACAGCTGAAGGCCTGTGTCCTTTGTACTTGCAGTAGAGCCTCCTACACAAGTGTCATACGGAGAAGTGAAGACAATCTGTCTGAGGCTGTCAGCTACTGTCCAGGAACTTGGGCAAGGCAACAATTTATGAGATGCCTTTAACTCTGGGTGCAGGAGAGGGCTTCATCAAACAGACTTTGCTGGCTGTGTTGTATGTACATTCACAAAGTAATTTACAGTTCCCTTGGAAACATGAAAAAGTTTGGGTCTAAATTTAGAGCGTTCACTCTGAGCTGATGTAATAAGCTCAAAGAATATTCAGAATGAAGAAACATGGGACAATTCACCCATCAATTTATAAATATCAAATCCATCCATTGCGTCACTGAGACCACAGTTGCTCCTTCAGGAGGTTAGTACCCCACCTGCTTCTCACAGTCAGGGAACAGAGGGGAAGTAACTACTTTTCTGCCTGCTCCAGGAACTCTAGTCCTCAGTGCATTATTTTCTGGTTTACTCCTTTGCCTTCTCAGTTGTGTGAGGCCCCATGACATTTGCCATCTGTCTTCTGTTAAATTTTCTTGCAAAGTGTCTCAGTGTGTGGCCCCAAGGAACCAGCAGCATGCAAAGCTCTGGATGTGGCCAGATTGCATTTTCAAGATTCATCCACATGCTGGTTTCCTAGGAAGGTTCTGACAGCCTGTGAGGTAATGCACATCCATTTCCAGAGAGCAGGCGTGAGGCAGAGCACTGGAAGGAATAAAAGCACCAGAGAAGCGCCACCTTTTTTTGTTAACATATGGGCTTTTGACTGTCCCTGGGAACACAATTCCTTCCCTGGGCCTGATAATTGATCACCTCTTGCCTGAATTGGGGATGAGTCCTCCAACTGATCTTGCTCGGCTTCCTGCCTGTCGCCCTCCCAGCCATTCTCCAGACGGCTGGAGAGAGGAGCCGGCCAGCACCGCGGCTGCTCACTGGCACCCCCTGCTGGGCTGTAACACTGTGACCTTCCCGCCATTTGCCCTGCAGTTCCTTACTTTCACCACACCACACACACCTTACCTCACAAACTCCTTAATTTTGAGGCTCTGATATCACCTCTTCCAGGAAGTTTTCCATAATTCTCACCATGATTCTGGGGTAATTGCTTCTCCTTTTCACTCCCACAGCCAGCACTCTATCATTGCACTTTTATGTTGCCTCGGTAATCTATTTTTATATTTCTGTCTTCTCTGTTAGACTGTGAGCTCCTTAAGGACAAGGACTGAACTGCGTTGGGAAAGTGTTGGAGGGTTATAGCAGAGGAATGACATGATCTGACCTACGTTTTGAAAGATCACGCGGCTGCTTATGGAGAATGGTCTCGTGAGTTGGGGAGGGGCGCAAGTTGGAAGTAGAAAGACCAGTTAGAAGGCAGATGAGACATGATGGTGGCTTGGACCAGGATGGCAGTGGAAGCACAAGTATGTCACGGTCAGATTCTAGACCCCTTTTGAAGAAGAATTAGTGGGATTTGCTGATGGATTGATAGTAGGTGAGAGAAAGAAAGAAGTTAAAGATGGTGCCGGATATTTTGGCCTGTGGAAATAGAAGATTGGCATTGCAATAACTATGACGGGAAAGATCACAGAGGATCAGGTTTAGAATAGGGAGTAATTAAAGGTTCAACTGGGGACATATAAAATTTGAGATAGCTATTAGAACTCCAGGAAGTCATGTTGAGGGGAACGTTGAATTTATGAATCTGGAATTCAGGGAGAAGTTGGGCTGGAGATGTAAGTTTGGTGAATATTCATGGAAATGGGTGGGGTGAGCGTAGGAGGAGAAAAGAAAGAATCTGAGGACTGATCCCTGTGGCACTCCAGCGTTTAGAATTTCATTGATGAGGAGAGCCCAGCAAAGGAGAATGAGAAGGAGCGACTATGGAGGTGAGAGGGGAACCAAGAGTGGATTCATTGATACCAACTGAAGACCATATTTCAGGTGGAGAATACAATTCTGTTAAGAGTTGAGAATAGATTCAATAAGATCTGTTAGTCCTATTAGATCTTCAGTCTGAGGATTGAGAACCGACCATTGGATTTGAAAATGTGAAAGTCATAAATGATTTAAGAACAGTGGAAAATAGATGATACTAATAGAGAGGATATCTGCTGGACTGATGTCCTTAAGTAAGAGAGAGGGATAAGGTCCAATATGCAAACGAAGGGGACTGGTTTTAGATAAAACCTAGTCACTAGAGGAAAGGCAGAGATATGGCCATAAAAGCAAACTGGTTTGTAGATGGGAAGGTGGGAGTGGATGCAATTTCTCTTTTGATTGCTTCCTTTTCTCAAAGAAATAAGAAGCCAGGTCGTCAGCTGAGCGCGAAGGTGAGAGCAGATGTCTTATTCATCTCTGCACCATCCTCTTGTCCCCAGCAATTAACATGATGCCTGGCACGTGGTTGGCATTAACACAGGTTGGTAAATAAGTGAATTGGAGATCTGCCAAATGACTTCACGTTAGGGTTTTGGTTTTCTTTTCTGTCTTGGAGATGTAATTTCACTCTAGTTTTGATCTGTTTTATGTGTTCAGAATATTTGTTGGAATTATGCAAAAAGAGGAAGGGATATCATGATAGAAAACAACATATTTTTGACTAAAAATATAATAGATGAGTGATTTCATATTATATGCATATAGTGTGTTTATATGTACATGTACGCATGTTACAAATTTACCTGCTTTTACACCAACTTAAATATTTGTTAATAATACCAGATACAATATATATTAAATAAGAAGCAAATCCATTATAGACGTTGACAACATTCTACCAGATATAAAAATACAGACACTTTCAAGAGATTGGGAGAAGTCGGGTCCATGCATGACCAGCACAGCTCTGTGTGTGTGTGTGTGTTGGTGAGTGGGCTCTAGGTAGCCCCTCGAGCTACATTATAGAAATCACTATACCTCATCTACCTAGTCCTAAGTCTGGCCTGGGTAGGACCATGTCCTGTTCTGCCTTCCCAGCTGATGATTTCTGACCAGCTATTTCTCAGTGACTTAACCTAAAAAGCTCCTAATATTATATCATATTGTTGAGAGAAGAACATGAGGAAAGGCTTCTTTAAAAAATCTAAAAGCCAAGGTGGTGGGGGTTAGATAAGCAAGGAAGAGGAGTGTGAATTACTAAAAAACAGAGCTGAAAAGTTATGTAGAAGCGTGACATATTTTGCATTTGGAAGTCTTCCCAACCCGAAGCTAGCTGCAGTGGTAACAGAGGGGGAAAAGCTGGCATCTGTTGGATGACGGTGGAGTCTCTGGGACTGCCGTGATTTCAATCTGTGGAGGGGCTGCCTGTTTATCTTCTCCCAAGCAGGGGCTCTTCAAGAATACAGCTGGTAGGCAGTGCAGTCAATTTTAGTTTGCCTCATTTATCTCCTTTTTTTTATATCTTATTTTTCTCTTTTATTTTATATCTTATTATTTCTTATTTTAGCTTTTTCCCTTCTCTCTTCCCCCTTCTCTTTCAACCAATTCATAGAATTCATTGTGAAAAGCAGGCAGCAGGACACGGAAACTAGTCTCATAAATTATGACAAGATGACCCCCCATCAGTTTGGCTCCGAACCGCAAGAGTGGTAGGGGGCTTAAGTAGGAACAAGATGAAAGTGAGTGGAAGTGAAGTGGTCCCAGGGTCATGCCTGAAGAGAGGGTGGAAGACCAGAAGAGAGATGGCTTAAAGCACTGATATTGAATTTTAAGGCTCTGAAATTATATTGACTGCATTATTGGAACATTGAGAGTGAGAAGGTGGTCTCAAGGCCAACTCATGCAAACAGAGGTTGCATTTGGAAGCCCTGAACCATGACTGGATGTGTTTTCTGTCGAGACAGATGCACACAGAGCAAGCAGAGGGAAGAGAATGCTTCCACCTGCATCTGCCCTGGCATGCTTCAGCCATTAGCTCTTCTCTTTCCAAGCATTCAAACATATTAAATAGGAAAAGTCTCGTCAATTGCCCGAGACTATATTTATTCAAATCAGCCAGAATGGGTTTCTCAAAGCAAATGTCAACATATCAGAGAGGTGCAAGTGATCTAGGAGAACACAGTCTTGAGACAACTCTGAAACAGGTTATCACACTCAAAGACAGTTGATACATTTCCAGGCTCTACAAATTTACCTATATTGTATACCATGTTGTAAAATTTCAATACTTTTCCAAATGTTCAGTGCTATTCTGGTTTTAGAAGGCTGTAATACGTGTGGAATGGGTTGTAAAGATAGTAACATATTCACCCTTGTATATTTACAGCACATTCCTGCAGGCAACTTGTAGCTCAGTGGAACATTTACTCTGTAGTATAATTTTTCAATAATATTACATACATTAATAAAGGTAATTTAGAAAAAGCCCCATAAAGTCATTTGACATTTTTTGCAAATTGCCAGAGTAATAAAAATGCCTTTACATTATGCTGCAATGGAAAACTGTGCCCTTTTGCTTGATTAAGTCCCTTCAGCGTTTACAACTAGATATTTGTGTGTCACTTTATTGCCATCTTATTTTAATTTGAGCTATGGATTTCCTGCTCTGAATGGCGCTACCCTTATAGTTTTGGAGAAGGGCACTCTTATCTTGCACAGCAGGAAGATCAGAGGCATGAATCCTGGCCTAGAATGTCCTATCTCTACTAACTGCTCGTGATACTTAGATTATACCCCAGGCTCCCAGTTCAATCAGGTTTTCCAGTCAATGCTTAGCAAGTGTTTATTCATCATCTTCTATATGCTTAGCTCTGGTAGTGACTGTGGGGGATACCTAAGTAAGACTGTAGTCTGGGGTAAGAAGTTTTTAAATAGCTTTGCTAAGGGTCTGGGGTAGAGGGTAAGACAGCCCCAGTACGTGTTTCAGCTTCCGTAGATGATCACTACATTTCTCTGCTGGAACCAAGGAGAACTGTCTTAGCTCTGAGAAAGAGGAAAGACTGGGAAGAAAGAGGAGGGAGGGTCTATGAGAAAAGAAGATGGTGAGTTAGGAAGGAAGGAAGAAGAAAAGGGAATGCAAAAAGACAGATTCTGAGATTGCTCCTTAGTTTGAGAAGTGATTTCCTTCTTTGGAAACCTTTAGGAAGTTTTACTGTTCCTACAGATGATCTGGTTAGGGGTTGATTTTTTGGGGTGTAGGATCTGCAGAGGAATCTGATAGAGGACTGGATTTCTAACTGATGTATGCTTAAGCCACAGGGGCTCATAAAACCATGTTTATGGGAGAGCTTTAGGCTTCATCTGGCCATGGACTTGGGGGGTGGTCTGTGTCCATTAAATCTAGATCTCTTGGAACAGGGAGGCCCCCAGCCAACTTTTGAGTTAAACCATAATCAGAGACTCCAATCAAAATACTTATAACCAGATCAGAAAATTAAAACCAACACACAAAGCCAAGCCATCTGATAGAGACAATATAACAAAGTGGTACTTTGTGAGTTATGGCTGTGCTGGTCAGGAGAGGAAGGACCCCTGCAAGATGAGGGTGGGTTTTAAAGAGCTTCTTGATTTCCTGACCAAGCAATCTAAGACCCCTTTAAAGGAATACGTGAGACTCAATGGGGGCCTTAGATGGTCTAAGGATTTGGCTCAGCTGAACAGAATTTGGGGGCATGCAAAGAAAGAGGTGCACCCACAAACAGATGCATGGCAGGTAGAGGAAGTGTGGCTGGCCCACCACTGGGTTCCCTACTCCTTGGTCTATGGTCAGAACTTTCTGGGCCCTGATTCCTACAAATATGTTAGGTCCAGACTCAAACGTGTCCTTCACACACCACGTCCCAGAAATAACAAATACCATAGTTCATTCACTCATTCATTCAAAAAGGCGGGTAGCATTCTTATTGCTATAATTACAGTGGTAAATAATACAGGCAGAGTTTCCGTCCTGTCCCATGGGAGAGACAGAGGCCTAGCCTATAAACCCACACAATGAGACAACTCTAAATTGTAACTGATAACTTGGAGAGAACCAACAGGATGCTGTTGGAGGCCACTGCAGGGCCTTGCTGGGGAGATGATGTTTAATCTGGGACCTGAAGAAATGATCAAGAAAAAGTCATGAAGAGAGTATGGGAACAGAGAAAGGAATGACTCAGGGAGAGGGGAAAGTGTGTGTGAAGGCCATGAGTGGGGAGTGAATTTGATGCTTTGGAAGATGTTTGAAGATCAACATGGCAGAGTTAGTAAGACAGTAAGAAGCCTGAGACAGAGCTAGGGAGAGAGTTGGACCAGATAATTTAAAGCCTTGTAAGCCAAACACAGGAATTTAGGTTCTGTGCTGACTACAATGAGAATTCATCAGAAGATTTTGAGCAGCAGTGTTAAACCTGTTCAAAGATTTTTTTTTTTTTCATTTCTTGGTTTCTCTGTGAAAAATTTTAACAATACATTCAACACAAAAAGTGTTGACTTTACAGGCGTGTGCAAGCCGCAGTCATCTATGCTACAGAAAATGGCATAACCTGCTAAGGTTTACTCATTACGGGTCCCGGAGCAGCCAACAGATGGATAATAACATTTAGTCACTACCGACTGGTAATTACAGTATGCATTTAAAGAAGAAATAAGTACATTTCCTGCTTCAAGTTCTCTCTTACGAAATGGAGAACCAATATCTCCCACATTGTATACCAGAGACGCAATCCATAGCCCCAGATCTGATAGAAAACTCCCTGAGGTTAATAATTCATGCATGACTTGTGATTGCAGTTGTACGTTACATCTGTTTTCATTAGATGTTCCCCTTTATTGAGTTTTCACAGTGCACATCAGCAGCCTCTATGTGCCCCTGTTCAAAATAAGCTGCTTGCTTTTAAAATGTTCTGGACTATATAATTTCATCTGGGCCATTATGGGAAACACATGGTTCCTGTGTGTCTGACTTTTTAAACCTTTTCACACTCTTGTCTAAGACTGTGGTTTGGATATTGATCCCAAACTATGTAGGTCTGAAGAATCGTGGCTGCCATTTTTTTATGGATGGATTTACCCCTCCTGCTCCTCAGTGCAGAAATTTTCTGATCCTAAGAGGATGGTTTCTAATTTAGGTCATTTTGCAAGAAGGCATTGCATATACTTTGACACAAACAAAGTTCTGGTTTGCATGCAGCCAAGAGAATGACAGCTCAGTCATTCAGGTCCTGATGCTTATACTCAGGGAGCTGCTGTATCAGAACCAGAGTTTGGGCTCTGACCTGGCTCTCTACCAAATCCTGGGTCAGAAGCTGGGCTCTGCCACATCTTCCTCTGAGGGATTCATTGTTCCATCCACAAAATGGCTATTATTTTTTCTTTTAGTTTTCTGGGACCAGATAGAAATTTCTGAAATAAGGGCTGCCTTGTAGTTATGGGTGACATAGTTTTAAAAACCAAATGGAAGCTATATTGCTGTGAAGACACAACTCATATGTATAGATTGATAGATATGTACAGACACACAAATTATTAATAGTAGCCATCTCTGGATGGTGATATTTTAATTATTCCTTTTGTTATTGACATTTTCTAACTTTTTTACAATGAACCCAAATTATTTGTATAATGAAAAAAACGTAAAAAAAAAAATCTCATTCTTGGTGCTCAGAGCAAGGGAACTGTAAGCCATGGTGAGCTGAGAAAAGGAGAGAATTAATGGCCTTAAGACAGCCTGCAGGACCAGCCACCCCACAAGGCACTTGGGGTGTGGCTGCCTTGGACTTTGTTGTGTGTATGTGTGTTCATGTATATGTACATGTGTGTATGCGTATTTATATGGGCATGCATGTATGTGTATTGTGTGCATGTGTGTGTTATATGTATGGGCATGCATGTATGTGTGTATGAGTTCATGAGTGTGGGCATGTGTGTTATGTTTATGTATATATGTGGTATGTTATATGCATGTGCTTGTGTGTATGCATATTCATGTGTGTTTGTGTTCCAGACGCTCAAAACCATCCCATGCTGCCCCCTGGGACATGAGCCCAGCATTCTTCATCTGGGATCTCTCACTCTTCACTTGGGTTTCTATCTTCTGTAAGTAATGGTGGTATGGAGCCGGGGGAGGAGTGGGTGCTGAGGGGGTGGGGAGGAGAGAGGCCTGGTCCCTTCCCAGTGCCCCACACCAGCAGTGAATTTGTTCTTCTTTCTTGGTCTTCCTCCTGCTTCTCTGAAGGTTTTCACTTCTCCTCCTCTCCACTCCTCCTCCTCTGGTTTTATTCCTGCTCTTTTTTGGAGGGTGGGCAGGGGGAAGGAGGGAAAGGCGTGGTTCTTACATCATTCATTTTGCTGCCTTCTTCCCAGCCCTTGTTTATGGCTGGCATGTTTAGCATTCAGTCTCTTCTGCTTTTGACTTAATAAACTCAAACTTTTGGAACTTACATTTTCTCTATGAAACAGCAAATTAAAAAGTCTTGGTCCTTTTGTGAATCAGAAGCACAGGGACCTCAAGACTGTTGCCTCTGCTGTGCCTTTTACAATGCCTATTTGGAAATATGATTTCTGTGTTGTCTCTGTTTTCTTCTTGTTGTTGTAGTTGTTAGTTGCTTTCTATTCTTGATTTTGTATTCTTTCTATTTGTAGGCAAAGAGTTGCTTCTGAGGCAATGAAGGGCTTGGCTCTGTGTGGTCAGGGAGATGTGCGGAGCTCAACAATAGAAAATTCCTCAGTTAATATCACCAAATTTCATTCCGGCATATGTAATATGGGACCAATTATGTACTCATGTCTTCAGATTGTTATGAGGATTTAATGAGATAATCCACGAGAAACCTTTAACACACTGCTTGGCATGTAGAAAGGGCTCAATAAATGTTGCCTGTTATTATTCCTAACACTATCATGCTGCTCATTGCTTTCCACTGGGAAAGGAAAATAGACTCCTGGATTCACTGTCCCTGCCCGTGAACAGAGGTGGTTTTGGAAGCCGTGGCAGCACCCAGTGACCTTCTCCTCAAACTCAGCTTCTCTGAATTTGGTGAGCCCCTGAGCCCTTGTAGGTAGCCTTATCTTACCTCCCACATCCCGCTCTAAGGAGCCTTCAGGGATTTTTAAAATTTATTTTTAATTTTTATTTATTTATTTATTTTTGAGACAGAGTCTTACTCTGTCACCCAGGCTGGAGTGCTGTGGTGCTATCTCAGCTCACTGCAACCTCCACCATCTGGGTTCAAGTGATTCTCCTGCCACAGTCTTCCAAGTAGCCAGGCCTACAGGTACGTGCTACCACGCCGGCTAATTTTTGGTATTTTTTGTAGAGACAGGGTTTCACCATGTTAGCCAGGATGGTCTGGGTCTCCTGACCTCGTGATCTGCCTGCCTTGGCCTCCCAAAGTATTGGGATTACAGGCGTGAGCCACTGCGCCCTGTCACCTTCAGGGATTTTGTAACTTCTAAGTCTGGTGGTCAGTAGCTCTCTGTGTTCCTCTACCCACCTCAGACCAGGCCAAGGTGAATGCTCATACGTAGCACATGGAGACCTAGGCGTGCTGGCTCAGCTTTGGAGCAGTGGAGGCAAGTAGAAGCCACTGGAGGAAGCCAATCAACCACACACCCTCCCAGGTGAGATGCAGTGTTTCCAGGTTCAAGGCTTCTGATATTCACTTTGGTGACCCCTGGAGGTCCACCAGCAAATCTGTGGTTAGGACTTAGCCTGCAGCTGTTTCTATTCCAGAGGCAGCCAGGGGAGCACAGGGAGGGAGTGGGTGTGACTCTGAGCTGTTCTGGTTCCCTCTATGCCAAGAAAGCAGCCTGGTGTGATACTGCACCAACACCAGAGAGTGGGCTAGTCAATGCTCAAGCTGCCTGGGCATACTTTGGGTCCTTCCTTGAGTCAGGGAAGACCTGGCTGCAATCTAAGAGGATTATTTTTCTGTAGGTCCTGGCATCTGACCCAAGTATCAGCCTACCAGTATTGCCACCTGCTGACACATTTACGTGATAACAGATTATGAGAGGTTCGGCAAAGATCCTGAACTGTCTTATCCACAACGGTACAAACCACTTGGAGTGGAAGGAAACACTATATGGAAATTGCCATCTGCGCAAGCAGCCTGATTAGATGACATCTGCAGACCTCCATAGAACCAGCTGGTAAAAACCATTCTTCCCAGGATGCTCTGCTCCTCCTTTGCTCTCACATACACAAACACACGTGCATGCATGTGCACACACCAGACGCATGTATGTGCACAAACATACACATAAACACACACATGCCCATAGAAATTCCCAGGGTACCACAGGCCCTGAGTATCTCAAGGGTGGGCTAGTTCCACAGGATGTCTTAAGGGCCTTCATTCCTCTCCCTTTTCTTCCTCTTTTTCATTTTCCTCTGCACATGCTAGATTCTTGAATATATTCAGCGGTTCTGCAGACCTGTTAGGAGTCAGTTTGTGCGGGTACTGGGTCAGTTGCTAAATGAATAGCCCTGAAGACTAGATACTCATGGCTGCCATCTGTCTCTGAAAAGGCATTAGTAAAGATTAAGGTGGAGGGGGAAACAAGAAAGATGAAGCTACCAGGAAATGCTGAGACTTTACCAACAGGTCAGAAGAAGCATGGGGATCTCATGGGATGGTTAGCATCTTGGGCCTCAACTGAACTGGGCTGGATTTTTGAAGAGATTCTCTTTCTCCTGCTCTCACAAGAGAGAGGAGAGGCCTCTGAGTTAAGACGGCTGGGAAAATCCTGCCACTTTTCATTTATTTGAGCCTCCCTCCCCAAGGCTTCCTTCTTTGTAACTCAGAAGTCTCAGTTTTTCTGCCCAACCACAGATGGACTCCACCTGCATCCTCTCAGCCACCTTCACTTCAATCATGCTTTGCTTTTGACACCTGCTCATCCCGCAGTGCGGGCTCACATGTCCCACCATGCCTATTTTCTCCCTTAGTCCACCCATGCCTGGCTTCCTTTTCTTCTCCCATCTGGCTTTAGATCCTGGGCCTGTCACTCAAACTACTCTCCTGGAAGAGGGTCAGCTCCCTCACTCTCGTGCATTTACTGCATCTTTTGGAAAAGTCCCAACACTCTATCAATGGACCCTCTTCCTTACCTGGGACCGTGGAGAGAAAACTATTTCCAATCTTGTCATTTGGGGCCATAAAAGTTTCATGGCCTCTGAATTCAGCAGGGCCCAGGTGGGGCTTCACAGTCACTCCCTCTGTTCCTTTCCCATCAGATCCTCACTCCTCTCCTCAAGCCCTAGTCCCTTGCAACTGCGAGCTGAGTTTAACTTTAGCAATGGCAAAAATGGAGATATTTAGGTAGAATCCTCTAAGACCTAGCTCAGGGACCACCTTCTCTAGGGAGATCTCCCTGATAGCTGAGGACCTCTCCCAATGCTGGGTTAAGCTGTCTGCTCTGGGCTCCCAGAGTGGCTTGTGAGACAGCTCATAGCTCATAACATGTATCACATGTATCACTGTTATGTAAACAGGCCTTTCACCCTGTTTACTTGCTTTCTGGACAATGAGCTCCGGGAGAACAAGGACTGTACATTCTATCTCTGTAGCTAGAGTGCCTGGGGACTAAGTAAGTAAGTGCACAGCACATTCTGTTTGATGAGTGAATGAATGAAGTCTTCCTTCATAGAAACATGGACTTTGACCAGGTGGGTTGTGTGGGACACAGCAGTTAGGGGTAGTCGCTCTTCCTAAAAGGGCCCATAAAAATCTAGGGGGTCCTGAGAAACCATTTGCAGCATGGGAGTCTGAAAGCACAGTTAAGTTGTTTCCATGTATCTGTGGCATCCCACATGTTGTTAACTGCTCATTTTAGGGGAAGGGGAGTAATTTCCTCCCTTGTTCTTTTTTTCCCATACAGATACATTCACCCTTAGCTTGAAGTCTGGATTATACGACCCCACTACAAGCTGGTGGAAGGCAGACTGTGAAGGGGATGAAGGTAGTTTGTGATTCTCTCCTCTCATTGCAACCTTTTGTTTCATCTGACCAAAGAACTCAAGAGCTCAGAATTTCTAAGCTAAAAGGGCCTTATAGATTATTTGGACCAATTGCCTGCCTTTGCACTTGAGGAAACTGAGGCCTAAAGAGATTTACAGCCTGCTCAAGGCACCTAGTTGGTAAGAGGGGTGATCTAGAAGCCAGGCTGCCCGGCCTCCAGTCTGCTGCTCTGCCATGCCACTTGGCTTCTCACAGGAGAAGCCTCAGTTACATTTCTCCAATGGGGGATTTTGACACTGTGGCACTAGGATGGGGGAGATGCTTTTGGACACACCATCCCAGAGGCACAGATGTGGCCCCTGCTGAAGAATGTAGCCCGGCGGCTGGTATTCCCTCAGCCCTTTATGGATTCCCTCTGCCGCCTATCTCATCAGCAGGCAAAGCTATCTGCTCCCAGCTTGGCAGGATTGTAGCTCTTATTGATGAAAGAGAAATCAAGCCAAGCCTGAAAAATGACTTAGCATTTTGAACGTTGGACAGACATAGACCAATGGGTTCTCTCCTTATATGTTACATGGTTCAGTGACTTGGGTGTACTTCTATAAAGAATTGCTCTGGTTGTACCCAGCCAGGTCTCACCTGTCATCTCTGAGCTCTCTGGGAACACAGAGCCTGACACGCTGAGAGTGGACATGTGCTTTGGATATTATGTCAGGTGTGCCATGCCATTCCACGCCACATTTTTCTCTGTCCCAGGCTCCCATTCAGAGGCAGCTAATGCAGCAGCCGAAAAAGAGGAAGCGGAAGTCAGCAACTGAGGTGAGAATGTAATGGGGCTCAGTGTCGTGCACTGGTGTCTCCCTTCTGTCTGCTCCCTTTGAGGTCCTGGGACTCCTCTACACTGCCACACTTTCACTCTGGATGGCCAAATCAGATATTCAGACCTAATGCATCCCACAGGCGTTGGGAGTGCCTTCTGTGTGCAGGCACTGTTCTGGGCCCTGAGGCTCAGCAGTGAACAAAGTGCCCTGCTCGAAAGTCTAGTGGGGCAAAAGACAACACACAATAGTGATGTGACAGGATATCAGGGCTGTAACTTTTACAAAGAAAATAAACCCTGGAACAGCGCTTGGGACTGCATGGGCACTGGGGGCTGCTGCAGTGCAGGTGGGCGGGGAAGGCTGTCAGAGGAGGAGGTATTTCAGCAGAGACCTGGATGGGGAGAAGGAGCTGGCCACGCTCAGGCCTGGGGAAGAGTCGGTGCAAAGGCCCTCCCAGGCCATGCTTGGGGTGTGTGAGGGCTGGGCAGAGGCTGCCATGGCTGGAGCCTGGGAAGCTGGGGGTGGGGGGACAAAGGTGAGAGAAGCGGGGACCTGTAAGGCCTAGTGGATGAGTAAAAGGAGTTTAGATTGTGAAGCCTGGGAGAGCTGTAAGGGAGTGAAGAGTGACAGGATCTGATTTGTATTTGTAAAAGATGACCCCGAACATCACTGTTTGTAACAGCATGATTCACAATAGCCAAAAGGTGGGAAAAGCTCAAATGTCCATTGAGAGATAAATGGATAAACAAAATGTGGCATATATATACCGTAGCATGCTATTCAGTCTTAGAAAGGAAGGAGATTCTGACACATGCTATACCACAGATGCACTGTGAAGTCATTATGTGGAGTGAGATAAGCCAGTCATACGGGACAGCAGGAGTTACTGTGTAATGGGTGCAGCGATGCAGCCAGCATGAAGGAAGAGTTCTGGAGATGGACAGTGGTCACGGTGGGACAACAGTGTGAATGTACTTAATGCCAGCGAATTCGACACTTCAAATTGTTAAAATGGTATATTTTGTTACGTATCTCTTACCAGAACAAAAGCAAACACCAAAGACCACCCTGCCTTCTGTATGGAGAATCTAGAAAGACTAAGAAAAGGATGAAAACTACACTTATGGAAAAGTTGCAATAATAGGCCAAAAACTCCCACTAATGCCTTACCCAGATGATTGGTGACATATTTTGGAAATAAATAAAGTTGATCCAGACTTGCTGTTGAGCCAGGTATGAGGGCTGAGGGAAAGAGAAGTTTATGATCTGTCCCCTGCAGCCACAGAAAGTTAGCTGCGGAAGGGTAGCCACTGAGTCACAGACCACCAGGAACTAGATCACAAAGATGAGGCCAGGAGAGAGGAGGGGAGCTGTCTGGGGACACACAGGTTTCTGCAGAGGGCCACGATGTGAGCTTAGGTTCCTAACTTGCAGTTTTTTGGTTTTTAAACATTACTTATTTATTTATATTGTATTATTATTGTTTTTCAGAGACAGAGTGTCTCTGTCATCCAGGCTGGAGTGCTGTGGCATGATTATAGCTTACTACAGGCTCAAACTTCTGGGCTCCCGGACTCGAGTGATCCTCCTACCTCAGCCTCCCAAGTGGCTGGGACTACAGGCATGGATCACCACACCCAGCTGATTTTTAAAATACTTCTTAGACACTATGTCTCGCTCTGTTGCCAAGGCTGGTCTCAAATTTCTGGCTTCAAGTGAGCCTCCTGCCTTGGCCTCTTAAAGTACAGGCGTTACAGACATGAGCCTCTGTGCCCAGCTGTTTTTGTCTTTTTAAATCAAGGGTGAAACATTTTCATTTTAGCCATATTTCACCTTTCTAAAAAGGTCGACCAGGTGCCGAGAAAGGGGCGGACAGGGTGAGTTTTTTTCCAGAGATGGACCCTGCTATCCACCCAGGGAAAGGAAGATATGCTTAGGCCTAGTGTTGTTGTAGCTACTCGATAGTTGCTCAGTTTCTCCATCTTCTAAATGGGTCTAGTTGTCTGTCTCTTGGGGTTGTTAAAAGGGTTTGAGTAGACAGAACTGTATCCAAAACATCTCCCCATCCTCCTAAATGTCTTCTGTGCTTCTTGCCACAGTGTGTGAATTTTTTTTTTTGAGACAGAGTTTTGCTCTTGTTACCCAGGCTGGAGTGCAATGGCACGATCTCGGCTCACCGCAACCTCCGCCTCCTGGGTTCAGGCAATTCTCCTGCCTCAACCTCCTGAGTAGCTGGGATTACAGGTACACACCACCATGCCCAGCTAATTTTTTGTATTTTTAGTAGAGACGGGGTTTCACCATGTTGACCAGGATGGTCTCGATCTCTTGACCTCGTGATCCACCCGCCTCGGCCTCCCAAAGTGTTGGGATTACAGGCGTGAGCCGCCGCGCCGGGCCAAAATTCTTATTGTTAGAATCATTCATTCAGACTACAGGCAGAGGTCAGAGCATGCTCAAGAGCTGCTGGCCATGCTGCATTCGTTCATCCATTCATTCACAGTGTGCCAAACTCTGCTAAACATAGAGTGGTAGAACTAAGACATTCTCTCTTCCCCACAACAGGTATTCAAAGATAAAAAAAGAGCATGTGGTCTGCAGTCCAGCAGAGCCCTCTCAATATTGCTTTCATTGCATCTTACTTATTTATTTTTTTATTGAGACAAAGTCTCACTCTGTCACTCAGGTTGGAGTGCAATGACGCAATCTCAGCTCACTACAACCTCCGTCTCCTGGGTTCAAGCAATTCTCCTGCCTCAGCCTCCCAAGTAGCTGGGATTACAGGCATGCAACACCATACCTGGCTAATTTTTGTATTTTTAGTAGAGATGGGGTTTCACCATGCTGGCCAGGCTGGTCTCAAACTCCTGACATCAGGTGATCCACATACCTTGGCCTCCCACATTGCTGGGATTACAGGCATGAGCCACCGTGCCCGGCCTGGTTCCACTGTATTTTAGCTGCATGATTTTCAACAAGTATCCTACACTCTCTGAGCCTTTGTTTCTTCATCTGCAAGGTGGGAACAGTGACAGTATGGCCACACGTTCTTTTCTGCTCCTCACATTGATGGGTGGGGTCTACATTCCCTCTTGAATCTGAGCAGCTTGTGATTGCTTCAACCAATAGAGGATGGAGGAAGTGATGTTATGTGTTTTCTGAGGCTACATCATGAAGACCATGAAGCTTCTTCCTTGTTCTCAGGAATACTGAGCCACCACATAAGCCACCACGCTGGAGAGGTCACACTCATGCTGATAATCCCAGCCTGTGAGTTATGCCAGCAGTGGGCAAGACATGTGCATGAAGAAGCCATCCTGGAAACAGATCCTCAAGTCCCCTAGAGACCCGAGCCTCCAGCCATTCTACCACCCAGAGACCAGCTAGTTACATCTGCTCTGCGTTGTTCCAACTCCTCACCCATGGAATCCGTGGGCATAATAGAATGACCGTTATTTTATGCCACTAAATTTTGGGGTGGTGTGTTATACTGATAATCAGAACAAGGCCAAAACAATATTCCTTATAATTAACGTGTATTTTAAATGAAAAATGAAAACCTTACAAAGCATCTAGCTTATTATAGGGCCTCAATAAAATAGGAATTTCCCCTTTCAAAAGAAAGATCCTCACTGTCTAGCAGTAGGGACAGGCATGCTGGTAATAACTAAATACAATGTGTAAACATAACAGATTTGACAACCAAATGCAAAACACATCAGTCAAGGCACTCTAATTTTGTGAGGATTTGGGACTGTGGGATTGTGTCAAGGAAGACTTCAGAAGGAGACATTTGAATGAGACCCTGAGAAGCCAGCAGGATTGTTTGAAGTTTACCAGCAGACAAAATGGGAGACATTTGAGGGAGAGAGACCATGACGTGAGTCTGGCAAAGATCTTGGAGATAGTTCCCCTACTCCTACCTGGGCTCCTTGTCAGGCCTTCCTGAACAGGGCAACCAGAGTAGATCCTTGAGGATGAGAGTTAAGTCCTGTCACTGTTCCAACTCCCATGGTTTCCAACTTGCTCAGAGTAAATGCCAAAGCCCTGCTGGTGACCTGCATGTGGAGGGACCATAATAATTTATCAACTGAACTGGGGTGCTTTGAGAGTGAACAGGGGCACTATTAATAATTCTTCCAGGACAACAGAACAGAACTAATTCAGGATTGTCCTGGGCAATCAAGATGTGTGGTCATCTGACCTATGTGGTGGCTCTAAGGCTTGTTGTACCTGCCTGATTGCGTCTTCCCTGGGCCCACCAGCTCACCTGTGCTCACCCCAGTCCAGCCACACTAGCTTTCCTGATGATTCCTGAATATGCCAGGCAAGTTTATGCACCTCCAGGTCCCTCTGCCTGGGATGCTCTTGCTTTGGAGGGTCACAGACTTCCTCCCTCACCTCCCTCAAGTCTTTACTCAATGTTATTTGAGCGAAGGGCCTTCCTGGCCAGACTATTTAAAGTGGACTGTTTCCATAGCCTCCACTCCTTCCTTGCTTTTCTTATGGCACGCATCACCTTCTAACATGATAAGTAACTTATTATTTATTTTGTCGATATTTTTGTGTCCCCTCACTACAATGCAAGTTCCATAAAGGCAAAGATGTTTGACTGTTTTATTTGCTGCTGCATCCCTGAATGTCTGCAACAATGCCTGACACTTAGTGCCTAATAAATCTCCTAAGTAAAAGTAGTTGACTGGCCTCCTTAGTGAAATATCGTCTCAAAATGAACAGTTCAGGCCGTTCAGCCTAAGTGTACTGAAGAATGTTTTGCATGAGAGATTTTTTTTTAAGTTAGTAGCTTTTGAAAACAGCCTAGAGCCATGTCTAAAACAAAATGTATGGCCCATGTGCAGCACAATTTTCTGTTATAAAGTTTCCCTCCACATCTCTTAGTATCATAAATTATTATAGCTGGAAGAAATCAGCTCTAAAATTCTATGATTCTAAGTGACAAGCACTATTATGTCTTTAAAAAATTGAAATGATATATTTTCTGGATAGTCAAGAAAACTGGAGGTCAGGGCAATAAGGGGAAACTGAGGATTTGGACAATTTATGAATCAATTTCTGAGGTTGGCAGACTGTTGGCATTTCTCCCAATTGCTGTGGGGGGCATTTCAATCCCGCCTCTAGCTGCTGGAATAATACTACTTCCATTTCTTTAGCTCCCCTCTAAAGTCTGCAGATTCGGGTAGATAAATCGTCAGCGGTCCTTCCCATTTCTGAGGCATTAAGCTTAAATCCTGTCAAGGTTCCCCATATATTAAAAATAAAACTTCTATTAACTTTTCCCCTGTCAGAGCGATCAGAGTTAAATTAATTTTTAACACTTGGGTAGAACAGCAGAAGAGAAATGTGCCCCCAGAGCCACCATGCATGGGCTGCTGGTCAGTTAGGGAGACTTGAACCATCACACTGCTGGCGGATGCTGCCCTAACCACTAGGATGTGTTGGGAGGGGCTCTGTTCCCATAGACAGCGCCTCTGGCATTATAAATGATATTGGTGGCATCCCAGGCTACAGCCATCAGGCCATGTGCAGGCAGATTGCTAAGCAAGACATTGAGCCCTGGCCTGGGGGTAGACCACTGAGATGGACAGCCAGCCCAGCCTGCCTGGTTTGGTCATGTGGCATCCTCACTCCTAGAGAAGATGCTCTGTGACTCACCCACTGTGCCCAGGGAAATAGCTTGTTTCTGGGGCTGAGTCTAAAGTGTGTGAGAACATGGGCTCTACACTAGATCTATAAATGAATGTGTTTTAATTGCTTAAAAGCTTGGAGACCTTGAGCAAAAAAATAGAAAAAAGAGCTACTATTGACATAGCACTTACTTTATCTTGGGCACTGAGCAAAGGTATATGTATATGTGTATGCAATATGTCTAATAATATAATATACTCAGTTATAATTTGTAATTTTATTATGTATATATTTGTAAAAGAGAAAGAGGTTTTCCTCACTGACTCCTCCTTCATATAATTAAGTATTATTTTCTCACTTTTTAGATGAGGAATCTCAGGTCCTGGGACAAAAATTGGTACCACAGAAGCCATGCAACTGGCAAATGCCAGAGTTGTTTGAACTCATGTCTGTCTGAATAGAAAGCAAGTGTTTTTAACCAAATAATGCAAATTATTCAAAATCTCTGATCCCAGGTTTTCCATCTGTAAAATGGGGAAATAGTACCCACTTCACAGGCTTGTTGTCAAAATCAATGAAGAAAATGTGTGTGAAGGGCTGAGCACAGAGCCTGGTGCAGAGCTTGATAAATGCTAGCTCTTGTAGTAGCAGTAGCAATAACTAAATTCCCTCTTTCTTGCAAGTCATAAGAAGATCTTTATGCTCAAATTAATGTTATGATTATTAAAAGGATCAATGCAACAAGAAGAGCTAACAATCCTAAATATATACGCACCCAATACAGGAGCACCCATATACATAAGGCAAGTTCTTAATGACTTATAAAAAGACTTAGACTCCCACGCAATAATAGTAGGAGACTTTAACATCACATTGTCAATATTAGACAGATCAACAAGACAGAAAATTAACAAGGATATCCAGGACTTGAACTCAGACCTGGAACAAGTAAACTTAATAAACATTACAGAACTCTCCATCCCAAATCCACAAAACATACATTCTTCTCTACCACATCACACCTACTCTAAAAGTGACTATATAATTGGAAGTAAATCACTCCTCAGTAATTGCATTGCATTTCACAGGTTTAAATGAAATATTGGTTGGTTGCTTGTTTGTTATTTTCCTCCCTTATTCCTTCCTGTCTCCATTGTTAAGCACAATTGTTGGCATAAAAGAGGTTTTTAATACCCATTTTCTTTTTTTTTTTGAGACGGAGTTTCACTCATGTTACCCAGGCTGGAGTGCAATGGCGCGATCTCGGCTCACCGCAACCTCCGCCTCCTGGGTTCAGGCAATTCTCCTGCCTCAGCCTCCTGAGTAGCTGGGATTACAGGCACCACCACCATGCCCAGCTAATTTTTTTGTATTTTTAGTAGAGATGGGGTTTCACCATGTTGACCAGGATGGTCTCAATCTCTTGACCTCGTGATCCACCCGCCTCAGCCTCCCAAAGTGCTGGGATTACAGGCTTGAGCCACCGCACCCGGAATACCCATTTTTAGACTGCATTCTAGCCTGGGCAATAAAGCAAGATTCCTGTTCTCTCTCCCTCTTTCTCTTCCTCTTTCTCTCTTTCATTCATTTTTTTCTTTCTTTCTTTCATTTTTTTCCCAAAGAAAAAAAAAAAGAATCGGTACCAAAAAAAAAAAAAAAAAGGTTATGATTATTGTGTAAACCGTTATTCTGCCTACTTTTGGAGACAATAATAACACCGTAGATCACTCACCAATCCATTCATTTGTTTCATACATATATATTTGTTTAAAGGTTATGGGATTTAAGAAGGACAAGGCATGCACCCTACCTTCAAAGAGCTTACAATCCGGTTGGGGAGGTCAAACATACACAAAGGCTAAATAAATAATAATTAAAGCAATATATGAGCCAAGATGAATGGGTAAGGTTTGAGGAGGGGAGTCACCATCGTCTAGAGGTATGGAGATGAGCTGAATCGGGGTCCACAGTAAGCAAGATTTGTCTTTTAGGAGAGAGAATGGTCAGGACACCTCATCCCGAAGTCAAGAAAGTGCTCTGGGCACCAGCAGGCAGTCAGTGCCTCACAAATGGAATTTTCACTGTGCAACCTCTAGTCTGTGATATGCAAATTTGGACAGGAATTCAGATAAAGAGTTTTATGGAGGTCTGATTTGAAATAGGAGCAAAGCACTTTTTTTTCAAGAGGGATCCTATTCCTTAAGAAAAATTATTTTCAGTGCAAAGATTATATTGTTACCCTCTACCATAAAGCACAGACCATGACCCTTATCACCATCACTGCCAGCATTATGATCACCACCACGCCCACTATCCTCCAACTGCCATCGTCTCCTCTACTGCCACCACCACCATCACCACCACCATTATCACCTCCACCAGCACCACCATCACCTCCACCACTACTACCATATTAGCAGCATATTAATATTTTCACCATTCCATCACCGCCACGACCACCACCACCATCACCTCTACTATCACCGCTAACACCACCACCATTATTACTATCCCTATCTTCACCATCCCTTCTGCCATCACCACCACCCCCTCTGCCATTATCACCATGACCAACACCATGATTCCCTCTACCATCACCACTGACACCATCACCATTACCTCTAACATTATAACTGCCACCGTTACCACTGCCATCTCCACCATGCAAAACTCCTAACTTTGAGCCAACATAATTATGAAAATCTTCATTTTAAGGCTCACACCAGTGTAAACTGAGTAAGAGATTTATTTCTTCTGCTCTCTAATGTGAGGCCAAGTGGGAGCTGGTCTTGACTCCAAACAAACCTACTGAGAACACCTTCCCCAAATTGTGATAATTTGTTAAAGCTAATGCTGCAAAGAAAATGCATTAAGTGACTGGCCTTGCTCTCAACCAAGTTCCCTGCCTCCTCGAGTGTGTCTTACAATCTGAAGGAAGACCCAGTTCTCCACGTTCCAGGAGGTGGGGTGCAGCGGTGGTGGCCATGGAGAGGGGAGCCTGAGAAAGCCTGGCAGACAGGGGCTGTTTCTCTCCTACTCGAAGCAGCCCACTCCCTTCAGGCAATAGACAGCTCTGACTTCAAACCCTAGCCAGGGATACTGCCACATGAGTAATGCCCAGAAAGGTTCCATAAATGGTTTCTTTCATCTCCTATTGAAATGAAAGAACAAGAGCAAGAGAGTAGAAATGAATTGTATTCCTACTGCAGAGAGTTCATTTGATAAATAATGTATATAGAGTTTGCAGTAATAACGGCTCTTTTCCGATTCAGCATGTGCGGGTGAGTTTTGACATATATCGTCTGTATTTCTAACAGACGGTGACTGACTGGTGCCCAGATTGGCATTATAAGAAGCAAGACAGACTGCTAACATTTGCTGTCATGTCAGAAAGGTTAATCTGGTTTTTCCCTGAGCTGGAGGCAGGGGTCCTTTGCCTTTCAGTGAAGGTGTGCGAGGGGAGGCAGGAGATAGATGGAGGATTTATCTTGCTCTGGGCTCCTAGAAATGGGAGGCAAGGTGACATGTGCCCAAGGTAGGATGACCAGGGAAACTGTATCTTGAAGATCTAGCTCTCTGCTACCTTCTGCTCGCTTCCTTAACATTGAAGCAAGTCCCAGAGACTTGCTTTGGGCTTTGGCAAGAGTGTAGAGACATGCACACAAGGCCCTAGTAGGTCCCTCACTCCTATCAAGAAGGAAGAGGCACCAGAATATTGGAAAACCTGATTCTCTGCAGTTGTCTCTCCAATCAGCCCTTAGATTTCAAGGAGACACACACTGGACTCATGTTGAAATGTTAGTAATCTGATCATCACATATTACTTTCTGTTCTGCCACTAAAACAGTGAGAACTCCTGCATTTTTGCAATGTGTTTTGGCTTACCAAGTATCCTTATAAATGTGACCTCACTTAATCTTCACAATAACCAGGAAAGAATTGTTACTCCATCTCATAGATGAGAAAACTGAGGTTCTGAAAGGTTTAGTAGCTTGTCCAAGGTGGCAAAGGGATAAGGGGAAGAATTCACTCAAAATATGCTGCAGTTAGGCTTTCTGACGCTAAGGCCAGTGCTTTACTACTCAAAGTTGCCTCCCTAGGGGAACTTCTACAGAGACCTTGTTGGTATGTGTAAGGAGGGTTGAGGGGTACACACATAGAAACACATACGTGCACCCACAAACATGTACATGCACATATAGATGGGTGCACACATGCATCCATGCGTACATGCTCTTATGGGTGTGCACACATACACACAGGCATGTGCACACACATGCATGCTTGCCTAGCAGAATCCAGAAGGGCATTCCCAGTAGGAGAGGGCTTCTGGTATTCAGCTTGTTTGACTTTGCTTTAGTGAAAAATTACTCAAAACCTCAAGAGTCACTCCCTTCCTGGTCCCAGATGGATGGGTGGAACAGCCCGGGAGCCCTTGGAAATGATTTTCACCCTGCAGGGCTTTGCATTTCTGGAGAGTCATGATCCAGTGGCCTTTTTAAGCCACTCACCTGCAGTTTGGGTTCATAGCAGCTGGTGGCTGCAATTTACTGGGACTAAGATTTATAGCACTCAGCGTCCAGGAAGATGCAATTTACCTCATAGGAGGGATGGCTTTTGCTCCCAAGAAAATGTTTTACCTCCCCTGGCTCACCTTTAGATTTAAGAAATCGCTCTGAGGAGTGAGAGAGTATCTAAAATCTTAAATATTAGATTCACTTCCCCTAAAATTAGATAACATTAATGTCAGAGCTGAATCGTGGTTTTATCAGAGGCCCTTTGTTAGTTCTCTACTCAACCTACAAGGAACTTTCCATGAAAGAACAGAAAATGAAATCTCTACATCTATCTTATATGTTCCTTTCACTCTCCATCTTTTGCTTTGATTTCTTTCTGTGACATCTCTTGGGAAATCTTACTTTTTCTTATTTTCAGGTGTTTACTGCTTCTGCTCACTATTTTTTTCCATCAATTTCTACTTTTCAATGAGACCTTTTTCCTTCTACCTCTATGAATTCTTAATAGTTTCCTTCTGATAGTTCCTTATTTCTGCTGATTATTGCGCTTTTCTTCCCATATGTCCTGGGCCTTTGGTTTGTCCTTGCCCTTGCTTTTCCTCTTCCATCCTTTGCAGGGAGGAGTTCTAGGCAGAGCGAGGACTTGGGATGGAGAAGAACACTGGTGTGAGTCTATGCTGTATCACCTTAATACCAGCATGACCTTGGCAAACTACTTTCAATTCTCTGCAACTGCGGTTTCCAGATCTGAAATATAGATGTAATATGCCTGTAGAGTTGAGTCTCAAATGAGATCCTGTTTAAAAGCACCTATCCCGGGACCTAAAATGCAATAGCTGTCCACAGAATGTCCAGTTGCTCTCCTCGCTTTCTCCTTTGTTTATTAAATATTTCCACTTCTAGTCCTTTTGGGGTTCAGTAATTTACCTGATTCAGGTTGCATGGATTGATTCATCAGGACACATAAAGGTAAAAGAGTATCCAATTTGGTGTATGTGGAATATGACAAACAAGGATGGGTTTGATTTGATGCCGACCGTAATGAAAACACAGAAGCAACTTGAACAATGAAGGAAATGATGAGGCTGATATGAGTCAAAGATCAGTCATCTCCAGCTTCTTGTGTGTACTGGAAACATCTTGATAAATGGGGAAGGAGAAAAATCAAAATGTGCTCTTTGGTTTAAACAAGCTGTCATAGCCTGTGAGATAAAGATGCACCCGTCCACAGAAGCCAGCTTCTAGACACACACCCTCATTATGCACAATTTAATAATATACACAGGCATTCTCCGGAGTTCTTATT